GTCTCTCTGCAGGAGTGAGCTTGTTGGTGCCAGCGGGTGCCATCCCTCAGGGTCGCGTCTATGAGATGTACGTGACGGTTCACAGGAAGGAGAGCATGAGGTACGGTCTGCTCTCACACACACACACACACACACACACACACACACACACTGGGCATTGGCGCCCGTGAAGGTGCCCATCTGTAGACACAGTGTATGCCATCCGCATCATGTCTGCTTAACTCTTCATGAAGCTCTCGCAGTTTATAACTGTACACAGTGCAGATTCATTCATCACAGCAGTGAATTAACTGAATGCAAATACTGGATGCAAAGTTCTACTGTACGAGGCTTTGAGGACCACACAACGTCTTTAGCCATACACAAATTCACCTTTGTCAAGCCGATCGCTGCATCATAAATGTATTGTATGCTTAGATATCACTTTATTTTAATTGAACTGAATTTCTACTGTGAAGTCAATTTTGATTCAGTTCAGTCAATGTTTAAATTCAATTATGCATCCGATTCTAGTGTAGTGTCAGACCAGTTGGAAGGTGTTAGTGCATTCAATCATGATTCCAGTTATTCTGTGAACATACAGAAGATGATGCTCTTGTTTAGCTTGCTTCTACTTAAATCAGTTCATTTCAGAGTTGATTCAACTCTGTTCAATTCAGTATTGATTCAGTTCAGCTCAGCGTTGATCCAGCCCTGTTCAGTTTTGATTCAACTCAGTTCAGTGTTGTTCAGTTCAGCTGTAAATCAACTCAGCTCAGCGTTGATTTAACTCAGTTCAGTTTGGTTCAACTCAGCTTAGTGTTGATTCAACTCAGTTCAGTTCAGTATTGATTCAGTTTAACTCAGCGTTGATCCAGCCCTATTCAGTTTTGATTCAACTCAGTTCAGTGTTGTTCAGTTCAGCTATAATTCAACACAGTTGATTCTGCTCAGCTCAATGTTGATTCAACTCCATTTCAGCTTTGATTCAATTTTGTTTAGTGTTGATTCAGTTCTGTTCAGTGTTGATTCAACACAGTTCAGTTCAGCATTGATTCAGTTTTATTCAACGTTGATTCAGTTCTGTGAGTGTGGCTTCATCTCATTTCAGTTTAGTGTGGATTCAGTTCAGTTCAGTGTTGATTCAGTTCTGTTCAGCGTTGATTAAACTTTGGTCAGTTTGACATTGATTCAACTCTGTTGAGTTCAGTGTTGATTAAGCTTAGTTCAGTGTTGATTCAGTTCTGTTTAGTGATGATTCAACTCAGTTCTTTTCAGTTTTCATTCAGTTCAGTTCACTGTTGATCCAGTTCTGTTCAGTGTTGATTAAACTCTGGTCAATTTGATATTGATTCAACTCTGTTTTGTTCAGTGTTGATTATGCCCAGTTAAGATTAGGTTCAGTGTTATTTCCGCTTAGTTCAGTTCAGTGTTGATTAACCTCAGTTCAGTGTTAATTCAGATGCGTTTAGTTTTGATTCAACTGTGTTTAGTTCAGTGTTGTTTGAACTCAGTTCGGCATTGATTCAACTCTGTTTTGTTCAGCGTTGATTCAGTTCTGTTCAGTTTTGATTCAACTCTGTTCAGTTCATTGTTGATTTTATCTCTGTTCAGTGTTGATTTAACTCAGTTCACATCAGTGTTGATTCAAATCTGGTCAGTTTGATCTTTATTCAACTGGTCAGTTTGATGTTTGTTTATTATTGGTTCAGTTCAGTTCAGTGTTAATTTAACTCAGTTCAGTTCAGTGCTGAATCAACTCTGTTCAGTTCAGTGTTGATTCAGCTCAGCCTAGTTCAGTGTTGATTCAGCTCAGCATAGTTCAGTGTTGATTGTACTCAGTTCAGTTCAGTGTTGATTCAACTCTGTTCAGTTTCAGTGTTGATTCAGCTCTGTTCAGTTCAGTGTTGATTCAGCTCAGCCTAGTTCAGTGTTGATTC